CTTTGGGCTCACATATTGCAGGCCATAACCAGCTGCTTGGGCCGCGAACGACACCAGCCCAATTGGGCTTTGGTATTCCTGTGTCCCAAGTTTTATTAGAACCAAGCATGCGTGGCTATTGTGGATTTCCTACACCACACTATACTGGATCCCAGCCTCTGTGCAGGTGCATCAGTGTACACAATGCACAAGATTGTAGCCCTCTTTTGAGCCTTTGCTATCAGGGCATGTGCCTGCAGCCCATCTCTGTGCATATTGGCTTATTGCCCTGACTCAACCCGCTTCAAATCCAGCCTAGATTTGGGCTTAGACCATGACACCAAATTTTTGAAGCCCACCTGTGTGGGCTTTGGTCTATTATTTTGGGCCCCAAGTTTAATTGTCCATATTTTTAGACAATTTGGGTTTTATAATTTTTTCACCCAAACTTTAATTTTGGCCCAACGTCCAAATAATTAATTGAATTATAATCATAGGCCCCGAAGACTTACTTGTATATATTTGTTGTATATTTCTGTATATATATGCGTTTGTTTGCAAGTACTATGAACCTGAAGTTCATAAACTTTTCTCGACAAAAATTAATTGAATGGATTTAAGTTTTTCGAACTTTTATGTATGTGACCGGTTCAATTAATTTTATTTCTAGGTATAACTAGTGGGAAAGTTAGTTGACTGGCAGATAGTGCAACCACGCACACCGTTTTGCACGAACGCATCTATTTCACTAACTTCATACCTAAGAATGCACCTCTAACAACCCTCTTAGGGACATCCAACCTGATTGAAGGATACAGTAAGGCATGTATAATGTTGTCCAATGGTACAATCTAGACCATTGATGAGGCACTTTATTCTCCATGTTCCAGAAGAATGTTATTGAGTTTCAAGGACATTAGAGATAATAATTATCACGCTGAAACTTATGTAGAAAATGGAATTGAATTCATGTGCATCACTTCTTATGAATATGTCCAGAAACGCATTCTAGAGAAGATGGAGCGTATCCCGAGTGGTCTGTATACTACAACCATACGTGTATACTACAACCATACACCCTATAGAGAGCCACTATGTGGCTAGCCCTACCTTTGGGACCGCGCACGAAATTACACTTTGGCATGATCGTTTGGGACACTCTGGACGAACAGCGATGCGCCATATCCTTAAATCTTTACATGGGCAATCACTAACCGGAAGTTTAGGTTCGTTCAAGGAATCGCATGTCAAACCTGCTGCATGGGAATGCTTATTATTATGACTTCTTATGAAAAGATTCGTTTGAATCCTCCTATTTTTTCTACAAAGAATTCAGGGGGACATTTGTGGACCGATTCACCATCCCTGCGAACCATTTAGTTATTTTATGGTTTTGGTTGACGCTTCCACACGTTGGTCACACGTGTGCTTGTTGTCCACAAGGAACGCTACATTCTCCAAACTGTTGGCTTAGATTAACAGGCTCAAGGCTCACCACCCTAATTATCCAATCAAATATATTCGATTGGATAATGCTGGAGAATTCACATCTAAAACTTTTGAATTTAAATTTTAAGAACTTATTATTAGCACTCCAAAATTTTCATTATGCACTCCAAAATTATATCTAACTATTTCGTCCCATTTCCAAACACATGCATGATTTTCTTGAAGGAAGAAAATTAAACATAAACCTGTTTATTTTATTTTTTTATTTAATTTTATATTTTAAATTGTATAATAAGTTATTCTTATAAATTTGTGCGCAACGAACCTATATTATATTTGTAACATCCCACATCGACCAACAGAAAGGGGGTGATGTGCCTTATATGTACATGCCTACCTCCATATAGCACGAGGCCTTTTGGGTACTCACTATCTTCGGATTCCATTGGAACTTCAAAATTAAGTGAGTTCGGGTGAGAGCATTCCCAGGATAGGTGACCCACTGGGAAGTTCTCGTGTGAGTTCGCAAAAACAAAACCGTGAGGGAATGGTAAGCCTAGAGCGGACAATATCGTGCTACGGCGAAGCCGATCTAGGATGTGACTGAATGGTATCAAAGCCACTCTGTCGTGTGGTGCGAGTGTGCCGACGAGGACATCGAGCCCCTAAGGGGGGATTGTAACATCCCACATCGACTAAGTTACATCCTAGACCGGCTCTGCCGTAGCACGATATTGTCCGCTCTGGGCTTACCATTCCCTCACAGTTTTGTTTCTGGGAACTCACACAAGAACTTCCCAACGGGTCACCCATCTTGGGAATGCTCTCGCCCGAACTCGCTTAACTTTGGAGTTTTGATGGAATCCGAAGCCAGTGAGTCCCCAAAAGGCATCGTGCTATATGGAGGTGGGCATGTACATATAAGGCACATCACCCCCTTTCCGTTGGTCGATGTGGGATGTTACAATCCACCCCCCTTAAGGGCGCACACTCACACCACACTACAGCGTGGCTTTGATACCATTTTGTCACACCACAGACCGGCTCCGCTGTAGCATAATATTGTCTGCTTTGGGCCCCGACCACGGCCTCACAGTTTTGTTTCTGGGAAGTTCTCGTGTGAGTTCCCATAAACAAAACCATGAGGACATGGTCGAGGCCCAAAGCGGACAATATTATGCTACGGCGGAACAAGTCCGGGTGCCAAAAAAGGGAAGCAAGAATTTTTTTTTTTTTTAAGACTTCAGTGCAACCAATTCTTCGTCGCGCAACAAAACCCTAAAAAAAAATTTTTGGGGGGGGGGGGGAGAGGGGCACATGAATTTTTTTTTTTTTTTTAAATTATGACTTTGCACGACCAATATTCGTCAAGTAAAGTCTTTTCCTTCGTCATGCAAAGTGATACGGTTTTTAAAACCAAAATAACTCCTCCACAATTTTCTCAATGTCTCTCTATTCTTTTACCTCTCCTCCTTCTTTCCCTCTCCCCAAATCCAACACTTTCTCTCTCACACTTACTCCTCTCACTCAATCTCTCATCTCTCTCTGCTTTTTCTATCTCTCACTCTCACTCACTCTCTCATCTCTCTCTCACTATCTTCTCTAACTCTCTCATACTCACTCCTCTCTCCCTTTCTCACTCACTCTCAATCTTGCCAAAAGGTATTTTCTCCCAAAATTTTAATTTATTTTTTCATTAATATGTGTTTTTGGAGTTAGTTTTGGGTTTGGGGTGGGATTTGGGGTTGCCAATTTTAGGGGAGATTATGCCGATTTTTTGGTATTATTTTATGTTGTGTTTTTGGTTATTTGACCATGTTTGTTTTTTCGTAGGAAATTGTGGGACTTTGAAGGCGAAAGTTGAGGATTTGGAAGCTATCGGACCATATCCCTCGCCACTACCACCACAATATACTTGTATTAGGATTTTATTATTGTACTTTGTTAATTTATGAGTACATTTTAAATATTATATATATATATATATATATTAGATAATTTGATCACTATTTTTCATATGTAGTTTTATTTTGATATGTCAATTTAAATTTTATGAGTACATTTTAAATATTATATATATATATATATATATATTAGATAATTTGATCACTATTTTTCATATGTAGTTTTATTTTGATATGTCAATTTAAATTAAAGTAATTTAAAAAATAAAGTCACACAATTAATTAAATTAAAAAGTAAAAGTTCGAAAAATCTTGCGCTACCAAATGTTTCTTCGTGCAAACAATTAATATAATTAAATTAAAATAAGAGAAATAATTAAGAAAAAGTCAAAAACCTTGTGTGACAAAATATTTAGTCATGCAAAATATTAAATTAATTTAATTAAATTAAAAACTTAAAAACCAAAAAAACTTTGCTCGACGAAGATTAATTTTTGTCACGCAAACCCTATCTTCACGAGCTTTGACGAACCATGCACGACCAAAATTTCGTCACACAAGGTTTTGAGTGACGAAATCATACTTTGCGCAACAAACTTATTTCATCACCCAAAGTGTTTTTTGTAGTAGTGTAAATATAAATCAAAAAATAGAAAGCCTCAGATCAAGGCTAAAGTATGTATCTTAAACTAAAACTAAACTATACATAGCATAATATACTTGTAAAGAACGGAGAAAAGTAAAGTAGGGGGAGAGAAGTCATAAAACAACAAAGTAGAACTAGAGAAGTGAAAAAAACTAGTGGGGTTATGCATATGGCCTTTTTGAAAAAATGTCTTATTTATATAAAAATAATAATTAAACAATAATATAAAATAAAAGAGGTTCGGTTTGGTTCCTCCAGTTCCTAATATTTCCAAACCGAAATCGAAACTGATTTGAGATGGTTCGATTCGCTTTTTGTTTCGATTTGACCTTTTTGGTCAACGCATTTTTTTACAGGTTTTTTTTTTTTTTTTCACGGTTCAGCGGTTTTTATGCCCACAAAATCAAAAAGCTACAATGGGTTGGATGCAAACATAAATTATAACGAAAATTCTTGAAGGAGTTTAAAATCATACATGTCAAAATTTAATCTAGAAATAACTGACAAATTATTGAATCATTACAATATTGAGGATAAGGATGACCAACAATAGCGGAACCGGTTTAAACTGATACTTAATAATTTCAAATGAATTTAAATTTTGAGAAATTATTATTTGCACTTTAAAATTTTCATTATGCACTCCAAACTTATATCTAACTATTTCTTCCCATTTCCAAACACATGCACGATTTTCTTGAAGGAAGAAAATTAAACGTAAAACGTTTGATTGGGGAGAGGCCGATTTGGATTAGGACTTGTACATATGGTGTCTAATTGACCAAGTTTCATGGAAACTTGGCAAAAACCTAGCTACCAAAATGTGTGGACGGTAACAAATTATTTAGAATCTTTATGGCTTTGAGACAAAGCTGGCAGAAGACAACTACGACTGTCCATGCTCCATCTTTTTTAAAATTATATCTTAAGAACTTGTTTATTCCATTAATATTTTTCTCTAATACACGCACACAAAATGTTCTGATTCCTTGTTAGTTGCAGATGCAATATTTGTGAAGTAATGAGATGATGAAGTAATTAGTTAATTTAATAAATAGTCCTAACACTCTAAATAATTAATTATCTCATCGCAAGTATAAATGGACCAGCATGGCGCATTGTCAGTATTATATGGACCTAGACCTTACTTGGCTTATCTGTTTACTGTTTTTTTCTGGGACTGAGGATGAGAGGGTAAAGTTGCAAACTTAACGGTGACCTTTCTGCTTCCATCTTATCAGTTTCAAAAACTCGGAAGCTCTTAACATTGTGGTAACATTTACTGTTTTAAACTTCTCTTCCTCACGGGATTCTAGTGAACTAGTTTAAGGACATTGCTGTCAAAATTTTCCCATCAGTACGAAGTGTTTACATTTGAGGAAAAATGGTGGAATTTATGTGTTTTGAGTCCATGAAAATGAAAGCATTGGAAGGTTAATGTGGGTGAATTTAGGTCTTTCATTCAAGTTCTTTTTTATTTATGGAAGTGATTTCTACTCGTATATGTTTTTGTGCAGAAGATAAAAAGGAGTGCGGGAATCGTTTTCTTATTTTTTTTCGTGCTCATTTTTACAAATTTTCTCTTTGCTTCTTTAAAGCAGCTTCGCATTTTTTCTGGGTTAATTTTTTCCGCAGGAGGATTATTTGAAGTGAAAAACTGAGTGAAAAGATGAGAGTGGCAGTGATTGGTGCTGGGATTAGTGGGTTGGTGTCTGCCTATGTTCTTGCAAAGGAAGGGGTGGAAGTGGTGGTGTATGAGAAGGATGACTACTTGGGCGGCCATGCCAGGACTGTCACATTTGATGGTGTTGATTTGGACCTTGGTTTCATGGTCTTCAATCGTGTAAGTATTTTCTTATTTTCTTGTTTCAATTCAAGTCTAATCTTCAACGATGAGTAATACATAAAACAAATTTTTAGAGCAAATTTGCAAATTATATGATGTGTCATCAAAAGGTTTAATTTAGTCACTATTCATTACTAATACATATCATTTAAAGACTGACATCATTACTTTTTGAGTCCCATATTGACAAGGTTGGTAAATAAGAAAAACGCCTCACGATTTATACAAAAATACTTTCAAAGTTCAGATGGAAAACAAAAATCATCATCTATCTGGTTGTAAGGCCGGAGTTTTTTTGTTTCCTTCTCTCGATACAAAATAAATTAATCTTTCTATGTTTCTAAATTATTAAGTTTGAAGTGATTTTCTAAGTATAATTTTATTGATGTCTTACGTGTGTAAATAAATAATTTTCTTATATAAAGTTAGAGCATTTTTTTTGGCGTCCCCTGGATCTTAAAAATCTTTGGACCGGCCCTACAATTAATGGTAATGGAAAATAACATTGAATGTAGAAAAAAAAATGCACAATAAGGAGCTAAATGATTAATATGGTCGCTTGTGCATTTTATATCCTTTCATTTTGTTACCTAACAATTAATATTAATTTAATTTTAAGATATGATATTGTCCACAACTTAGATCTAATACCTTGGCGTTTAGTCAGGCCAGCGTTGGGTTTCATGTTAAAAGGTTTTGGTGCTATTAGTAGCAGAACAATAACTTGTAGATTACTAAGAATTTCTCATATCAGATTTTGTTCTCAATCCTTGACTTGTATCAAGCCATACAACAACATTAGCTATGTAACGTGTTCAAACTAGAGCATTTAACTCAAAATCAATTGAAAATAATACAGACGTCAAGGAGCTTATATAGTATGATGCAAGGCTTAGAATTTCTGATGTGTGGCTATATATTCCTGTATATTTGAAAACTGGACTGCAGGTCACTTATCCAAATATGATGGAGTTCTTTGAGAGCCTTGGGGTTGATATGGAGACATCTGACATGTCCTTCTCAGCGAGCTTAGACAATGGACGGGGGTGTGAATGGGGCAGCAGAAATGGTTTGTCGGGCTTGTTCGCACAAAAGACCAACTTGATCAATCCATACTTCTGGCAAATGCTTCGAGAAATAACAAAGTTTAAACATGATGCAATCAAGTAAGTAACAACTAAATGGTCATCTTTCACCGTCACATTATAATTTATATATTAGGGTAATTTTCTCGTACTAGAATATGTTTATCTTGTCATATACATTGTGAATCTAATCCACACATTTAGATAATGACAAGTATCACGAATGATCTAAATTCAGAGTTTAACGGCATAAGTATCTTAGGCAAGTAAAACAAAAAACAAAGATTGTTTTATTGCAGTTACATCAAAATGATGAAATATGATTTTGATGCTTTTTGTTGCAGTTATCTTGGGGAGCTTGAGAACAACCAGGACATTGATCGCAGTGAAACCTTGGGGCAGTTTATCAAGTCACGTGGCTACTCTGAATTGTTTCAGAAGGCTTATCTTGTGAGACTACTACTTAAGCAAATTTGAGCCTTTCGGTTCACTTTTTTCGAAAAATTATTTTGCAGTACTGAAATATAGTTACATGGTAAAATACCAGTATACAACGTGATTGATCATATCTTCATTTTACAGTACAATATCAATAAATATCTACTTATATTTACCATAACAATCAATCATGTTTCACTACCACACAGACGTTGCCCATGCCTTTTGAACTTAAAAAACGAAAGAAATTACTTGCATGTGCGAGTTAAGTTTATTCAGTTACTTGATGGGCATTGCAATGGCAATGACATTCATTATTGTAAGTGCAGGTTCCAGTATGTGGGTCAATCTGGTCTTGTCCTTCAGAAGGAGTTATGAGCTTCTCAGCCTTCTCTGTTCTTTCATTTTGTCGCAATCATCATCTACTTCAGGTACATTCATATATTTCTCCCCTTCAGTTAACGCCCAAAAGACTATTTTAAAATGTAGCATAACATATGAACTCTTTTAGAAACTAGTGGTTTTCTCTTTCGATGTTGGAAGAAGTTTTAGGTTCAAATCCCCTCTCGACAAGTGATCAAGAAAAAGTATCTCCTATGATAACATGGTTTAGCTAGAATGTGAGATCTAAATCAAAACCAATCTGAGTCAGGTAGCACTATGTCTAGTGATATTTGCCTTTACTTGTAAGTGAAGGGTCTTAGGTTCGACTCACATGAATAGCGAGTTTGGAACCTAACTAAGTACTTACTCTTTTGGCTTTGCCCTCGTTTATTTGCAGCTATTTGGGCGTCCACAGTGGCTTACTGTCAGATGGCGTTCACATTGTTATGTGAAGAAGGTGCTAATTTGTTGCTTCTGGGAATAACATATATACATTGCTTGCCTTGTTTCCATAGTCTTAGCGTTCTAATTTAAAGTAATTTGGATTACATTTCAGGTCAGAGAAGTTCTGGAGAGTAAAGGCTGTCACATAAGAACTAGCTCTGAAGTACATAGGGTTTCCACATCTGATGAGGGTCGGTAGTGACACTGATAGCTGAGACTCCATTTTCTTCCTTATATATGAACTTGTTTCTCATGTGATGACTCATTTGTTGGCTTGATATACATTGCTGCCCCATTCCCTTGACGGGTTTAGCTTTGGGGCTAGCCGTTGCTCTACATAATATAACAGAATCAGGGGCAACCAGATTCCTCCTGCGGAATTAAGATTTCTCTTTCTATACATTGTCGGAGGGTATACAATTCAAACACTTTAATTGCACTATCCAACTTCATGTCTGTTTGTTTCCATTTCTTGATTTGATCTTGTATGAGTTCTTGCAGTACTACAATTTTTCTTGGTTTAACTTGTTAGTAGAAACTTGGTATGGCTTATTTTTGTGTGGATTTCTTAAAACTTAAGTATTAACAGAGTTTATATGAGATATATCAGGTTGCACTGTAATCTCTGGTGATGGTTTGGAGGAAGTATTCAATGGATGCATAATGGCTGTCCACGCTCCTGATGCCGTGAGAATTCTAGGCGACCAGGCCACATCGGATGAGTTGAGAGTTCTTGGTGCTTTCCAATATGTGTACAGGTACACTTTGTTTCCCCCCACTGAATTATCATTTGCAGTGACAATTAATTTCAGTTTCCAAGTGACTATCCTAATAACTATTGGATAATTGTCATTCTGCTGGAGGATGGCAATTGCTGCTCCTGGAGCTAATTCACTCAATACACTATCATTGTTGAACTCTCTATTGGCAGTGACATTTTTCTGCATCGTGACAAAAATTTAATGCCCCGCAACCCAGCAGCATGGAGTGCGTGGAATTTTCGCGGAAAGTAATGGCAACAAAGTTTGTTTGACATACTGGCTCAATGTGCTCCAGGTAAAATAGTGTGTTAGACTTAACATTAGAAACATGGACTTTGATCTAATATGTTCTATATTGTTCCTTGTGTGGTTAAGATTTGGAGGAAGTTGTGGAACTCGAAAAGATTGATCACTTTGCTGTTCAACGATTTAACCAGTCTCTGGAATTTCGGAATGTGCAGAACATTGATGAAACCGGTCTTCCATTTCTTGTGACCCTGAATCCAGAACACACACCAAAACATACCTTGCTTAAGTGGTCGACAAGCCATCCAGTCCCATCTGTTGCTGCATCGAAGGCTTCGCTTGAGCTTCCTCGTATTCAAGGAAAAAGAGGAATTTGGTTTTGTGGAGCATATAATGGTGAGTTTTACCTGCTCAGGAGAAGTTGACAGTTTTTCAGCTATCAAATATTTTCGCTATCTTGAATAAAGACACAATTGAATGTCATTACTCCTTCATATTGACCAAAAATGTGTTTAGATGAATATCTTGCTACTCAAGTATGAAAACATGTTTCTTGCTAATGAATTAACTAGATGACTACCATATTCAGGATTACCTTAATTTTCATGGCTCAGAGCTGATATTTTTGTGTTCCGAATCATCTGAGCGTCTAATGTTACATTTTGTTTTCTCTTCAGGGTATGGCTTCCATGAGGATGGACTAAAGGTACGGTATGACAACATAAGTTCTTAAAGATCATTTTACTGTATTAACCAATTCAACATGTTATGTAAAAAGATTCAAAATTGATTGACATCCTACACATTTATTCGTTTTTGGTTAAGTGATATAGTGCTGCCTAAGAATCTATCAAATTGGTGGATTTCAGCTTAACAGTGAAGTGTACTACTTTGCAGGCTGGAATGGCTGCAGCACATGGTTTGCTTGGAAAAGGTTGTGCCCTCTTGGACAACCCAAAACACATGGTTCCGTCGCTGACAGAAACAGGGGCACGCCTTTTTGTTACTAGATTTCTTACACATTTTATCTCCACCGGATGTTTGATGTGAGTAGTACTTGTGTTTCATAAGAATCTTCCAGTTATTGCATCCTTTCTTTTATTGTGTCGAATAAGTTATGTACTTAATCAAGATAATTAATATATCATTGTCGTCGAATAGTTTCTTAGAGGAAGGAGGAACAATTTTCACCTTTGAGGGAACCGGAAAAGGGTGTTCTCTGAAATGTGTTATTAAAGTTCATAATCCTCAGTTTTACTGGAAGGTATGTATTGTTACTATGATTTTGACACTTTTTGTGTGAATTATGTGCTGCACGAAATTAACGTCAAGGGAAATGATCTCATTGTGAAAGCAAGAAATCACTTTCACTGATAAGCAGTACGATTTGTTTGGCAGGTGATGACACAGGCTGATTTAGGCCTAGCAGATGCATATATCAATGGGGATTTTTCATTCGTTGACAAAGACAAAGGTCTTTTAAATCTTATAATGGTAAGATAATTCAGTGTCCGGTGCAAAATCATTTGTGTACTTTGCAGATTCACAGAAGTAATCATCTTGCTAATTCATTTTCCAGATTCTCATCGCCAACAGAGACGCAAATTCTTCGGACTCAAAACTGACCAAGAAAAGGTGTGATGAGACTTGGTTACTAGCTTAAACTTGAATAATGATATAGCTCTTATCTAGTAGTTAATGAAATCTCAATACAATCCGGACTCACCTATTTTCGCTGTAGGGGATGGTGGACGCCATTGTTATTCACAGCTAGTATAGCATCAGCAAAATATTTTTTCCAGCATGTTTCGAGGCAAAATACTCTCACTCAGGCTCGCAGGAACATCTCTCGTCATTATGACCTGGTATACAAATTATGACCTTGAAATTCATTATTACTTTCTATCTTTTCCCATTGAGTATCTTAAAGGTATTTGGAACGGAGGCAAGGATCTCGTCACAGCTCACTATTAGCTTTCTGTGTGTTCTAGAGTAATGAACTATTCTCGCTGTTCTTGGACGAGACAATGACGTATTCCAGTGCTGTATTTAAGGTCAGAATAATTGGTTTCCAATCAGTTTACACTGCATGAAAGAAAGTACACTGTAGTTTTAACTTATATCTCGGTTTCTATGTTAAATCGTTCTATAGACAGAAAATGAAGATTTAAAGGTTGCTCAGCTGAGGAAAATCTCCATTCTGATTGAAAAGGCAAGTCTCTTTTATATTAACAACTCCGTCAGGTGGTTGTCCTTCTTTCTGTGCTATTTCAATTTGTTTTTCCTTCCGATAATTCAGGCTAGAATTGAAAAGAACCATGAAGTTCTGGAGATTGGATGTGGTTGGGGAAGCTTAGCTATTAAAGTCGTCAAACAAACAGGTTGCAAATACACCGGGATCACACTGTCCGAGGAACAACTGAAATATGCACAAGAGAAAGTGAAAGAGGCTGGCCTTCAGGTATCAAATGTTGTGAATAGCATGTTTATATAAGCATATATCAAGGGTTTTGAATGCATGTGCACGTACGCGAACTATATGTAATTTCGGTTGAATTCTACCAGGACCGCATCAAATTTCTTCTGTGCGATTACCGCCAGCTTGCTAACAACAAATATGACAGAATTATATCTTGGTTAGTGTTGCTCCGACCAAGTTTAGTTCATGAATAATACTCCTGGAAATAACTTGATCCGTGGTGGAATTTTGCAGCGAGATGCTAGAAAGCGTGGGGCATGAATTTATGGACGAATTCTTTTCGTGCTGCGAATCTGTGCTAGCAGAAAATGGCCTTCTTGTTCTACAGGTAACATTGCAACAAGTTGTTAGTTCATTGACTGATAAATTGCAACTCCTATAAACTGTGACATCCAATATGTCGCTAATAGTTAAGGGTGGTTTATCTTTCCTTACAGTTCATATCAATACCAGATCAGCGCTACGATGAGTACAGGCAAAGTTCAGACTTCATAAAGGAATATATTTTTCCGGGTGGATGTCTACCTTCGTTAAGTAGGGTAACATCGGCAATGGCTGCTTCTTCCAGACTCTGGTATGATCTGTTATCACGGGAACAAATCCATCGTTTGGTTTAACCTGGTGGTATGCGATTTTTGTTTTGACTTTTGCAAACTTCATTCCTGCAGTGTGGAGCACCTGGAAAACATTGGAATCCATTACTTCCAAACACTCAGATATTGGAGAAAAAATTTCTTGGAGAGACAAAGGTAAGAAGATTTGATCTAAACTCTGAATCCTCCCCAAAGGCATTTTAGAGTAAGCATGATTTAGACATTGTAAATGTTGATGAAATACTTTGGATGTGTAGTGAAATACTCGCTCTTGGATTCGATGAAAAGTTCATCCGGACGTGGGAGTATTATTTTGATTATTGCGCGGCCGGTTTTAGGACGTGTACTCTTGGAAATTACCAGGTACATTTCTACACTTTGAAACACATTGATGAATGCTGTTTGAAGCTACAAGCACAGCTAAAAGTACAGATATGCGATGCAGATGGTGTTTTCACGCCCCGGCAATGTTCCGGCATTCAGCAATCCGTACGAAGGCAAGTGTTGCTGATTTTCCTTTTATTTTTCCTTGCTTTAATTTTAATTTCTCACAATCAAGCTCAAGCTGACTTGCTTTAATTTTAATTATTATTTTTCATAATAAAACTGTTTTCTTTTATTTATTTATACGGCATCAAGGCCGCCTTGTTTCTTAAAGAAGCTTACTTGGAACGGGGGTGCAACGGGAGGTGCATCGAGCCCAATCACGCACGTCCCCGATGCATGGTAGTCCTTAAATGAGTGGCGCAAGTTTGCACCTTCACGGCAAAGATTGAAAACAAAAACCTATCTGCCTTGGTTTGTGATCGAAAGGATGAGAACCATCGCCTACATCTTTTGAAGATACTAAAGCAATGTATCAAAACTCTGTTGGTGAGGTTGTGCCATTAAATCCAACTCGATCACGTTAAGTGCACAAGTTTGCGCCAATATAGTGATCAAGTAAACACAACTGAAACAACTAGGCAGTTACCATCTTTTCCTTTGCCCAATTTGAAGGAATCTAAAACATAGGAAGAACAGTTGTACATAGAAACAAGATAAGACATCTCCCTCACCGCGCTACCTCCGGCTTTTCGAAGCACAAAACGCTCACCACAACACAAGAAAGAAGACAAAGTAACAAGACATGGAACAGGGCAAGAAATAGGGCAGGGTACTCTAAAACAAGGACAGGAGAAAAACAAAACAGCCTGTACTGTTACAACAGTCATGATTCTTACTCAAATACTGCATAACAAAATCTACCGTGATCTCGAATTTGGATAAATAAATAAATAAAAAAGCAATGGCTCTTCTACTTCATTCTAAAGTTCTACACAACTATTTTTAACAGACGCCTCCTTTCTGCTTCTCTAATTATCCTACGATCAACAGACTTCCACAATCAAATAGTGATACTGGGTAAGCTGCTCAAGTCAACATACCGTAGGCCAAGGCTGTTCACCTCACAATCTGTCATGCAACCACAAACCTGAGTGACGTTTACGATACCAATGATGTGAGCTCGAGGACTCTGCAGAATTTGACAGTGTTGGCATGGCCTGACTGGAGAATGACCTGATTAATTTCAAGTGAACAAACTTCCCAAAATTTCATTCCATCTCGAACATACCCCCAATGAACATGCCCCACCATGAAGCTCGTCTTCAGCCATGATGGACACTTCACTTTACAACTCGTGCACTTCCTCCTGTACAACACAAGGCCAAATACAGGGGGAAAATGATTATGCCATCGTCAAAGTGTCAACTACCACTACGACTATCGCTACCCATTATGAAGTGAACAGCCCATAGCTCCATTGCTATCAGAGAACTACCCTCACTACATCTTTGTAATTCCTACTTGTCATATCAAATCAAGCATAGCACCTAGTGGACAAACTTCCTAAAGCATCTAATCTTCAGCAAAAAAATAAACTGGAAAATAAAGCAATGATAAGATTTCAAACAACAGAATACTTTAGCTTTAACACTACGGCCAAAAAGGTAAATGCCACTAGCAGCTTGTAGACAATTATAAGCACGCCAAATTTAACACCACTCAGAAGCAAAAATTAAATAGGAGCATCTAGTGCGCACTAAAATACTATTTATTATAGGCTACCAAAATAGAAACTGCAAACTACTAGAACTTAAGCAATCCAACCAGTCCCAAAGCATTGTCATCCAACTTGAGCTGTTCTTGCTACTGCCGCTCGTCAAGAGAAACCATTACTAGCTCATGCATAAAGAGATACAGATCCATAAAATAGGATGCAATTTCAATTGAAACAGTCAACCATCAAAATTACTGCTGCTGGGATTGTCGTGCCTGAGCACTTCCATACCCACCACCATAACCAACTTGTCCACCATTTGCCTGACCACCATAATTTCCAGAAGCTTGTGATGGATCAGATCTCCAACCAGCATTTCCATAACCTGCATTTCCATTTGAATCGCCATAGCCACTTCCACCGTAGCCACCAGTACTACCTTGCTCCCCACCTGGAGCACCAACATTGTTATTTGGGACACTCCCCGAACGTCCTCCAACAGCTCCATATCCAGACGGATTTGCATAGGACGCATCCGTTCCACTGTACCCACATAACCATAACCTTGAGTTCCATACCCAGCCGCTGCACTAGGTGATTGACCAGCAGGTGCAGAACCGGGGCCACCACTGCCTGTACCTGCACTGCCGCTTGAAACACCCCAAGGAGCAGTATTCCCATAACCCATAGCACCATATCCAGAGGGAGCTTGAGAGCTCCACGCACTTCTAGGGGCACCTGGCGGACCACTAGCATAACCGGCATTTGGGGCATTAGGGTTTCCATATGCAGCAGCTGCTGGCCCTCCATAACCAGTATTGGTACCTCCATAACTTCCGTAACTGCCATAGCCAATTCCATTACTGGTAGGACCATACCCGTAACTGGGTGCACTATACCCAGAAGAACCATAAGGTGGAAACCCACCTCCACACTCTGGGATTGCATGTACCTATTGGAGTCCATTCGGACATCATATGAATTTGGGTTGCCAGTAGATACCCCATAGCCTTGATAACCACCACCACCAGCACCGCCACCACCTTGACCGCCGCCCATGCTACGGCTACCCCCACCAGGGTTGGCATCTTTGGGAAGAGCCCGCTTAACTTCCACTTGCTTACCATTTAGATCATGAAATGTCTTGTGCAAAACCCTATCAACAGCTTCTTCAGTGTCAAATGAAATAAACCCAAAACCACGAGGACGTCCAGTACTTTGGTCATACATTACTACTACATCAGTTACATGGCCATAAGATTCAAAATACTCACGGAATCCTTCCTCACTAAGAGTGGGGGGCAACCCTCCAACAAATATCTTCTTGGTCCTAACATTTCCCCCACTTCCAGCACTTCTAGTAGGATTAGCATTTCCAACTCTTCCAGAAGTTTGCTGCTCCTCTCTTGATAGGGCCCTCTTAGCCTCAACCTGAAAATTCAAACTTGTGATTATGCAGCAGAAAAATACCTTGTGTGTCACGGATGTGGATCTTAAATAACAAGCAAGAGCCAAAGCAACTTTATAGAAATAATACTCAAAGCTTCAATGGTGTCCATATATCAATGGGTATCATAAGCAACACTGACAAGAAAATATTGTCCGTAAGGACCATTTTTTAAATCAGTTACCGACCCGAACATGTGCAGCCAGTACAAAATGGTTAAAAGGTGACTTATAGTGGCATGGCTCATACAAGAACCACTTTAGATATATAAATCCTCTTTGGAAGCCTAACACACTGAAGTATGGTACAATTTCTCTTTCTACACGATTTTCTATACAATCCATAGAAAAGTTTCCAGAACTGTTACAAGCTAAAATGTTAGCATCATTATCATTGTGGGATGTAAAACACTTGACATGCAAACCAGTCGTAAACCCTAAACCCTTAACCCAGTCACAGACATAACAAAGAATGATTTCATAGCATGTAAATAAATACACATCCAGACATTTGTTCACAAGAATAACTTATTGCTCACTACTGCAAACCCACAGAAGTACAACAGAACAACATGTATACCATCAGCTTAGAAAAACACATTAGAAGCTTCCAATACAAATGTTTTTGACTCTTGCTCCTTGGTATAAATACAGTGAACACAATTAATCAAAGACTAAAGCTCTTAACAAGCAAACGTTACGTTATATTTAGCAGCCAAGCCGTAGTTTTACAAATTCAATTAAAGTCTTACTTGCAAACATAGTAGCAACCAGCAAACCAGAAAAACTGCAACTATACATACTTCAATGTCAAATAAAATAAAGCTGGACACGAGAACGAATACATTCACAACCAGACTAGCAGAATTACAAAACCTAGAAACTAAATCTCAAAAAATCAAATAAAATTAACAATGACCAGCTAAAGCGCACTAAAAAATAGAGGCCCAATTAGCTTAACACCAAATTAAACAAAAACCCACTAAAAATAAAAAAACAAATAAAAAATGGGAATCTAAATCTCACCGTTCTACCATCGATGGTGTGCTTATCCTGAAGAACCCTATCGAGAACAGCAGGATCTACAAAAACCACAAACCCAAAACCCCTGGGGCGGCCGGAGACCTTGTCCCTCATAACCACCGTCTGCAAAACGTCGCCGTAGTTGCTGAAGTACTCTTTAAGCTTATCCTCCGAGGTCTCCCATGAAATCCCACCAATAAAAAGCTTCCCCTGATCTGAATCCATGCGGGTTTTCACTTCACTGCCTCTCCTTCTCACTGACTGCGTGTGAGAATGAAAGCTTCGATCTTTATGTAATTTCGGAGGTGTGTTTTTGGATTTTGGGGGTTTGGGATTTGGGAGAGAAAGGAAGGGTTTGTGGCCGACTAAGGAGAGAGAGAACGGGTCGAGTGCGTATGTATGCTTCGAGATTGGGGGGAGTTTGGGACTTGGGAGATGGAAGTACGCGTTTGGACGGATGAGATTTTCTGCATTGGTTGGTCGGGAAGACTTTGATGTTTTGTACGGTTTGGATTTGATGTAAGTCGAAATCCGCCAGTGAGTTGGCTCATTGTCACGTGAGATGCACAGAGACATTCACAGTAACTGGGAAAATCGTCACACTAACATGACATCATTTCATTTCCAAATTGTTTGTTTTTTTAGCATCATCTAATAATTGTTTTAGAAAAAAAAAATTCAATTAATTTAAGGACTGTTTAATTATTCATATAAATTAAAGAAACTGACGGTTCATCATTAGGATGATGTTTGTTATTGTAATCATTAATTTGTTTTACACAAGTGAATGATTATAAATGTTCTTTAAAGCGAAAGAATTTTTTTTTAAATGAGTTTTAGATGATAATAAAGAAACTAAATGATTTTGATTATAATATTTTAAGGTAAAATAATGTCAAGTTAGAGAGGAAGTATCATCCTATGCACCAAAATTAGTTCAATTGTTTCCTGTCCAATGGTTTGTGCTATGAAACCTAATAAATTAAAATAACCATCATGGGGTGGCTTAGTGGTTGGGACGAATTACAGACCTATATTCCACACGACACGTCTTTGGTTCAATTTCTGGTGCTTGTGAATCGCACGATGGTGGCCAAGAGAGGTTGAAATGCCTCTGTGAGTATTCCCCGCCCTTGGAAGGGTGGATGTCGTGGTTACGCCACCAGCTGGTCCCCTTTTTAAATATAAAATAATTAAAATGAATTTAGGTTTTGTTTTGTGAACTTATAAGGCTATCTCCAACTCAAGGGTGAGAAATTTGCTCATATTAGTGTATGTGAATTGCACGATGGTGACCAAAAGGAGGCAAAAATACCTCTGTGAGTCTTCGTAGCCCCTGAAGGGTGGACTGCTATGGCGAAGCCACCAACTGGTCCCTCTTTTAAAAAGAAAATAATTGAAATGAATTTTATGTTTTATTTTGTGAACTTGTAAGGCTATTTCCAACTCAAGGGTGAGAATTTTCAACATTTAGCCCCATATTTTCAACTATTCAGCAATACGTATAAGGTTAGTCAGTTTTTTCCTACAAGGTAAGGGACCTATAATTCCATCCTCAACTTGATAATTTGTTGAACTTTTGTATTTCTTTGATCTTGTTTTTGCTAGTAGTTTTTGTATAATTTATCTTGTTTTTACGAACATTTTGATATGTAAAAAAATTCAAATTCAAATTCAAATTCAAAAAAATTTGTTCAGATACTTTTGAGTTGGACATCATTGGATTCAATATGACAACTATTTTTCACATAATGTGAACTATTTGTTTGGATGTCCTACATACTATTTATCAGATTTCCTACACATTTGCTATCTTCAATTCTTTCTTTATAAGAAGAAGGAATTCTAGGCAAACACACACCTCTTTCTTAAATCTCATACTTTTGCTTAAGCACTTTCATTTTTCAATGGGTTCAGTCGTGAGAAGCGAATTCATATACTAGAAGCATTTGATATAGAAGAAGATAACCATCAAAACGTTGTTGTTGTTGCTCGTCACCAAGCATTGTTGGAGGCTCATGATAGGCGAAACATGGCGGTTTGGGTTGCTGGTCATGAAGTTGTTCATCGTGAAAGATAAATTTGGCATGAGAACCTTCTGAACGACTACTTCATTCTTCGCCCTACTTTTGAACCTTCTAAATTCCGTAGGCGACATCAACTGGTAGAAAGGATGCTTATCGTGCACTCCCCTGCAGACAATCTATTTGACATATTGCATTTGACACGCGGGGCTCGCCCTTGTCTTGTCTTCACATGATGCAACTACAAGCTAAGGGGCCTGGGGCCGTTAGCCCACTTGCTTCCCTTATCCATCTAAGGGGGTTGCAGACCCAAATTCCCACCCCCAAACTCAAAATCCCATTTGCCCCAAATTTTAGGTTTTTTTTTAGTTTCTCCCCCCCCCCCCCCCGGGGCGCAGGGGCATTGGAGACAATCAAGACTATATCTATTATGAACAATAGGTGAAGGAAGTTGGGGTTCCATCATAATTTCAACATAAATGTGTACTCAAATGTTGTCTTCATCAGAAAGAGAATCTTGAGGAGGTAATTGTTCGATTATGATGGTATATTAATTAGAGTAGGATTAGGGAGTGTTGAGAGGTCGTAGAGCAATTCCACCCTTTAAGGAAATAATTGTCCAAGCAATTACGTAATAGGCAAATGATTTTCTCGAACAATTGGTATTAAAAAATTAACAAAAGATGACCTACGTATCCAACACATCAAACAAAAACAAAAAGATGGCTAGGAATATCTTTCTCACACTTCATCACTTTTAATCTCTCTCTCATCTCCCATTCTTCTCCAACTTCACAAACCTCTACACCTTTTGGCAACCCACCACCGCCTAACTCCAACTCATCATCATTCCCCTTTCAATCCCTCTCATACTATACCAACTGCCTATCCCACCTCGACTCCCGTCACAACGACATCTTCTCCCATGTCGTCTTTGGCGCCACTATGTCAAATTTTAACAAAATCAGAGTCTGTGTCATTTGAGTATTCATGGATCTAATCTAGATCCGGTTCAAAGGGCTTGCAATTGCCAAAATCTCTAGTTACTTCACTTGGGTCTCGTCAATATTTGTGTTCTTCAACATTAATTGCAACGGCAGAGCATTTCCGTTTGCTGCATTGTCTGGTTTGATGACGAAGATATTCTGGTGACTATTAACGCTCAAAACTGGTGAGGCTAACAAAGACCATAATGATCTTATGTCGGCCCTTGGTGGGCTCATGATTTAGGATAGTAACAACTGAACAACAACAACAATGATTAAGTGGTTTACTCCTAAAAATTGGGCTATGTCCTCTGAGTCTCTGAAATATATTGAATACAAGGTTACAAATAGGCTCTCAATGAGCTCCTATTTCCCAAGGTCAAACATTTTACCTCATTTCCATTTAATAAGAAAAATGCATAGATTTGACATGCTAGTTGTCAATGTTGGAACTTGTGTTTTCTGTGGGACTTGGAGTCCCACATCGCCCAAACACCTTTCATATTAAGTCTTTATAAGTGAGTTCACTCACTTATAGTTTGAAAAGAATTGGGCCAAAGCCATGGACCTTGGGCCTTAGAATTGGAGAGTTTGGGTGTATATATTAAATGTCAAAGATGGGCTTTGGGCCTTGGGGCTCTTGGGCTCGGATGGACGAAAAACACAAGTTACGTTTTTGATTTTTTTGATTCAGTTTTTTCCGAAAGGATAAAACTGATTGAACAGTTACGTTCAGTTTTTATTGAACAGTTGCATTCGGTTTTCTTTTTACAAAAACTGATAAGCCTGAACGGTTGGAGAAGTTCGAATTATGCCATTATATATATGGCAATAAAAATCAGAAACCAGAATCAAGTTTTTCCATATTCATTCCTCCATATTTCGCTGAGAACCACACAACCAATTCGCCAAGAATCCAAGTTCGAGTGCAAGAACTTGGATTAGATAGTTGTATCCTGCAAGATAGACGTCCATTTGAACTACTGCACTGGTGTAGGGGCGTATTTTTGTCTTAGGAGATTGCTACTGCAAGCCTCTATCTTCTTAACCAAGTCAGTGTTTTGTGATTCATTAATTCAGTTTTGTAATTGTTTATATTGTGAGATATATAGATATATATATATATATATATATATTGTTTCCTTGTGAAATTACTATTCGAAATAAACTGTGCAATTGTTGTATAATATATAATACTTAACATTTGATTGTCTCTAACATTCTAAGACAGAACCATGGATCAATCAAATGTTGGTGTCGTCAAGCAACACGTTGAGAAACCTAAGAAGTTCAAGGGAGTTGATTTCAAACGTTGGCAACAGAAGATGTTGTTCTACTTAACAACTCTGAACTTGAGTCATGTGATTACTTCTGAGTCCCCCAAAGCACCAGAAGAGGGAGACATTCCTGCCGAAATTCTGCAGGCTATAGAGGCATGGACTCACAGTGAATTTCTATGCAGGAACTACATTCTGAATGCTCTAGATGACTCTCTGTATGATGTTTATTCATCATATAAGACAGCGAAAGATCTGTGGGAGTCTCTGGATAAGAAGTACAAGTCTGAAGTGGCAAGTTCCAAGAAGTTTGTAATTGGAAAATTTCTGAATTACAAGATGAGTGACACCAAGTCTGTTGTCAATCAAGTTGAAGAACTCCAAGTGATTGTTCATGAGTTAGATGAAGAAAATCTTGGTCTGAAAGAAGGTTTTGTGGTTGGCTCTATCATAGAGAAACTGCCTTCGAATTGGAAGGACTTCAAGATTTATCTGAAGCATCTAACTGAAGACATGAGCATGGATCAGTTGATTCTCAAACTGCGTGTGGAGGAGGATCATCGAAAAAATGAGAAGTATGATGTCTCATCGCTGGAGGCAAAGGCCAATGTTGTGGAAGGAGGTGACTCACACAAGGCAAGGCACCATCAGAAAAACAAAGGCAAGGATGTTGCAAAGAAAGCAATGACTGCTGTGAAAGGGAAAACCTTCAAGAAAATCAAGGGAGGTTGCTGGGTTTGTGGAAAGACAGGTCATAGGGCAAAGGACTGCCGCCATAAGAAGGATTAGAATTCTGGAAGTTCCAATCAAGCAAATGTTGCAGAAGCCACATTTGTTGCTGTTGTCTCTGAAGTCAATTTATTGACTAATTCAAATGACTAGTTTGTTGATACAGGAGCAACAAGGCATGTGTGTGCTGATCGAAATTTATTTGTTACTTACCAATCTGTTGATGGTGGAGAAAATATGTACATGGGAAATGCAACTGCGTCTGCCGTTGCAGGGAAGGGAAAAGTGACGCTCAAACTCACTTCCGGAAAAGAGCTTTCACTT